TCCAACACTGGAGGCCTAGGACCGAGGGAGGATCTGCCTTTCTTACTTTCCTGGGACTCTCAAAGATAAAGCACTAGTAAGGGTCCAGGGTTATTTCAAATAGAATTTCTACTCCTTAGCACTCACTTTCAGACCTTCATCAAAGTTACACCAAAGCCCTTGATTTGTGCAGCATCATTTGACGGGTTTTAGCTCCAGGTTCTCTCCTCTGCCTGGTAGGAGCTGAGTGCACCTGCTCTTCAAATGCAGTTAGAAAAAGCCAGTGCTCGAGGCCATCTGCAGACTGAACAATGGCAAACAGACTGTCATCAGAGCATCGTGTTGTTCAGCACTGAAAAAATATACATAATTTCCTAGCCATTCATTAGAATTTGAAGAAAATTGCTCTATTTTTCCTATGAGATGATTACCTATGACCCTCGTGGACCAAAATTCACGTAGTAGTGTAGATATGAGACTTTCTTGTCACGGCTTGGGTAGCGACCACTGAAAGTGTTTATGTGAATTTTCTCCGAATTATCTCTGCTTTCAAAAATGGACATTCAAAAGCACACAGTAGAGGAGGTTCCAGTTCCAGTGGAGTAAGCACACTCCGTGCTTTCTTTCCCATTGAATGCAGCCAAAAAACACTGAGCAGAATGTATGGAGCAGCTATTTGAGGACTCGAAAGTACATAGTAGCAGGTAGGTTGGGGAAGGAAACCATAATAAAAGTATGAAAGATCCACCCCCAGTTTCCTGTTTTGTTTTGTTCTTTTGTTTTTGTTTTTTCACCCATGTCTCCTGCCTGGACTCAAAGGCAACACAAATCCCAGAACAGATCTCTGTCTCTAAGAGCAGACAGAGCTCCAAGAGAATCCCTCTCTTTCTGGCCCAAGGAGAGGAAGGGAAGCCACCCAGGGACAGAGACTGAGAGAAATCCTATCAATTTCCATGTTAATAACCCTGTTAACATTTAGTGTGTTACATTCTAGACTTTTTCTGTGCATAGTTTTTTTTTTAAAACATAGTTAAAATTATCCCAAACATTTTCTGGTTTTTTTCCTCTTAATAGAGGAAAATGTTTACGATGTAAACTGACTACACAATCATTGCAAACTGATTTCTTAATGACTTAATAAGCAGTTACAGCCTGGGGCTTCCCAGCCTTTAATGTGGATTCCCTGGGTCTAGCTCAGCTGGGGGCCTGAGAGTGTGTTTACAGCAGGCTTCCCAGGTTGCCAATCCTGTCTCTGGGCCAGACTTAGAATAGCAAGGGTATAGTTACTGAACAGTTCCCATGTAGGTTGTTTCCAGTTGCTTTTATAAATAAGGTTACAGTGGGACATGTGTACATAAAGATTTTCTTCATATTTGGGATCATTTCCTTGAGGTAGGCTCCTAAGAAGCAATTAACTGGGTCAGAGGTTATGGCTATTTAAATTGCTGGTAAGCTATTGATGATTATTTTGCCAGTGGTAAGAAATATATCCTTTCAAAATCTTAGATGAGGAAATCAAGGCTTAGGATGTTTGGCCACCTAGGGTCACACAGCTAGTCATTTGAAGATCCATGTTTCAGCCCCAGGTGTCTGTTTTGGCCAGCTGTTCCCTGCACAGCTGTGCAGACAGCTATGGCTTCCACCTCGTGCCTGCTCTTAAATGAGCCTGTTAGAGAAGGTCATTGTTATTGTACCTGCCTCGTCATTGGCTCTATTTCTCTCTCTCTCTTTTTTTAAAGCTTTGCTAATTACGCATGGGAAAAAATGAGCTCCTGTTATATTGATTTTTATTTCCATTTGTTTGACAGACTTTATGTCTCTATCTGGTCACATCCTTTGTCCTTTGATAAATTTTGTTTCCTGAGTTGGTCTTGATTCTCCTTGATTTCTACATGCCGTGTACATGATAAAGATATTAACTTGTTTCTGCAGTAATTCTTTTGTAATTTGCGTTGTACTCTGCCTTTTTCAACATAATTTCATTTTTTTGTAATTTGTATTGTACTCTGCCTTTATCAATATAATTTCATTTTTTTTTTCTGTTTCTCACTAAGCTTAAAGAGGCTTTCCCTTTGCAGAAGTTTGACAACATGGGAAGATATTTAAAAAGAAAGCTTAGGGGTTTTAAGGACACCTGAAAGAAATGCAGCATCAATTTTTTTTGCTTTTCCTCTGTTCCATGTTTACTTCGTCATTTTTCACCCTTGCCCCAACACATAGTTTCCCCACAAAGATTTTCTTGCTACAACAGAAGGGCAAATTATGGGGTGGGGTGTAGATCCCCTCACCAGCCAGCTGCTTAAACAAAACATTACGGGGTGATGCTGTGTTGAGAGCATGATTTAGTTTTTAAAAAACAAAAGGACTTTTGGAAGGACGATCTGAAATAACGTTAAATGAAGAGATACACAAGCTTTTTGGCCATAATATTCTTCTACCTTGTTAATCGTTGTTAATGACAAAAGTAGACCAAACTTTTAATTTGAAACTTTAAAAAATTTTTTATCATTTTTATACAGACACGCAATTTAAACAATGAAGTGGTTCCACACAACTCGTTATGGAAAAACATTAGTCCCCGGGCCCCCACTGTACTCTAGCCCCCTTTTCCTACTCCCTTTCAACTCTTTTAACTGAATCTTATGGTATTTACCTCCATAACTTTAACTCTTTTTACCAATTTTTTTTTAATGTGTTTACTCGGGTCACTAAGGGACGTGGGAATATCATTTTTGAATATAGTCTTTCTCTATTATTGACTTCCTCCTGAGGAAGGTGAGGATTTAGTGTCCTTCTGTGCCTTTTTCTTCTCTTCTCCCCACCTCTCAATGGGAATATCATTTTTGAATATAGTCTTTCTCTATTATTGACTTCCTGCTGAGGAAGGTGAGGATTTAGTGTCCTTCTGTGCCTTTTTCTTCTCTTCTCCCCACCTCTCATCCCCATCATACACAATCCGCTTCTGGTCCTGTCTTCCATGTGTAGTCCTCTGTCCTTTGTTTAGCTCAGTATTCAGTGCTTGCATTATTATAGTTCTGTAAATGCTGTTCACAGCCAAGCCATGTAGTTTCCTGTAATTACTTTTCCTTTTCTGCACAATATTTTGTTGCCTGTGCAGTTAGTACTTGCCTTGCTTTTTGCTTTAGTAGTTTTCTAAGTGCTTAATCTCCCCCAACTTATGACCCTCCTCTCAATACAGTCAGAGGCATTGGGTGTTCCACGAGTCTTCTCTCCTTGAAGACACCTCTCCAGAGCATTTGGGCTGGTCACTTTCAAGCCCAAATGTGTGAGCTACTGCACAGCTCTTTACCTCTTCCTTTATTGGCATCCTGGCAAGTCCCATTTCTTCTTTTCTGGGTTTACCTCTCCTGCTTTGTAGAACATATCCTCTGTAATTTCTGAAAAATAATATAAAGGTGGTAAATATTTTACCATCTTGTACAAGGCACTTCAAAAAGTTTGTGGAAAAATAGAATTAATGGATAATACAAATCTTTCCATGAATGTTTTGAAGACACCCTCATATATATGAAAAAGGCTTTAGTTTATCCATAATTTATCCTTTAGTTTATGCTTAGTTGTAATATGGCTAGGTGGAGAATTCTAAATTGGAAATAATTTTTGCTCAGAATTTAAAGGCATTTTTTCCAAATCCCTTTGTTGTTCTGTGTTACTTTTGAGAAGTCTCATTCTAATGATTCTTTGTGTAAACCTTGTTTTTAATCTCTAGAGGCTTAGGGTCTCTTCTTAGTCCCCAGTTTCTGAAATTCCATGATGCTGAGTCTTGCTCTGCAGGTTTCTTTTCTCCTATGGTGCTGGGCGTTCAGTGATCTCTTTGAATACAGAAATTCATACCTTCTGCATGGTGCATTCAACCTGCCACCCTTAACTAGAAATCATGATAGTATGTTTGAAGGGAAATTATGATGAAACATATGTTTCCCAAAGCTAGAATATTATCAGTTTAATATTCAGAAGGGATCATGGTGATTAGATCGACCAACCAGAATTTTTAAAAGTACTGAAGCATAAAAAATAGACAATCACATGTTTTATTTGACAGAACAAATAAAAGTAGCAATGATCGAGTTAAGGCCACTTATTACACTAGTATTCAACCCACACTTGTATCATAGACAAGTGGATTAATTTATAAACTTTTTTTCTTACTCTTATTAAAAGGAAAAATATCTAGTGCTATCACATTCTACTCAACTTGGTCCCCTAAAGTCACATACCAAAAACCATTTATACATTTGACCACCCCAACCTCCAGCTTTTTTAGCTAAATTAGTAGAACAATTGTCTGCTAGGCCAAGCACGGCAAAAATACATCTTTAAATTTTTCCTAGACTAGAGATTTAAATTATTTTTCCCAAAATGGAAGTTGTAGTAAATCAGTCAATCAACCAACCAGTCAGTCTTTCTTTGTTGGTGTAATTTAAAAAATTGGGTAGGATTGGCCCGTGGCTCACTCGGGAGAGTGCGGTGCTGATAACACCAAGGCCACGGGTTCGGATCCCTGTATAGGGATGGCCGGTTTGCTCCCTTGGGAGAGCATGGTGCTGACAACACCAAGTCAAGGGTTGAGATCCCCTTACCGGTCATCTTTAAAAAAAAAAAAATTTGGGTGAACATCTGCTGAAATGTGCTATAAAAAGTGCTACCATCTAAGGAAAGTTCTGAAGCCACATGCTTTATCTGTAGGCCCATACTNCAACACCAAGTCAAGGGTTGAGATCCCCTTACCGGTCATCTTTAAAAAAAAAAAAATTGGGTGAACATCTGCTGAAATGTGCTATTAAAAAGTGCTACCATCTAAGGAAAGTTCTGAAGCCACATGCTTTATCTGTAGGCCCATACTTTTCCTAAGGGCTTCCCATGAGATGGTAAATGTTGTGGGCAGACTTCATGGTGAGGACTTAATCTATGTTAATATAAGCTTAATTCTGGATATCAATAGTAATCATAGCACACTTTCATGTGGGTTAATAATGAATCTTGTTTTCTTTTCCTGCCAGCTTTTTGGAGACTGGGAAGCCCAACTGCGGAGAATAATGAAGCTCATTGCAGGAGGTGGCTTGTCCATCACTGGGTCTCACAACATGTGTGGGGACTATCTGTACAGTGGCCACACGGTCATGCTAACACTCACCTACTTATTTATCAAAGAGTGTAAGTCTAAAACAGCCTTCCATTGTAATTTCTTCCCCTGCCATTTCCCATGGTCTCTCGTCCTTTGGTAAATGACGTTTTCTGGAAAGTCTGCTGAAGCAAGACTAGAGGCTTCGCAGGGACAGCAGCCTCACTCATCACTGTGCCTGGGATGCACTGGCACCCAGAGAAATACAGGGAAAGCCTTGACTGCTCTTCTTGGGGTGGCATCTTGTTTCCTGGAATGTCAGCTGTACTGTTGGGTGGAGGCATTTTCGAGCATAGCATGTGGGGTGTGTTATGAGCAGTTATGCAGCTGCTATAAGTAAGGAGCCAGAAAGAATCTCATGAGGACACAGAAATCCAGGATTGGGCCTGATTGGAGGATGATAGATCAGCCTCTTTTCCCAAGCACTTGGCACCATGCTGCATGCTGGGGATACAGTGATGGGTCAGATGACATCTCTGCCCTCAAAGAGGCCACGGGCTCAGGAGTGAGGCAGACACACAAAAATACTATAGATACCCCTACGTATTGCTCAGGTTTACTGCATCATTTGCATTTTGTCGTATTTGTTTCAAGCAAGCCTTTAAAAAAGAAAATGTTAATATGCAAGGGTACTTCAAAAAATTCGTGGAAAAATGGAGTTAAAAGATAACATGAATCTTTTCACGAACTTTTTGAAAACCTCTTGTATGATTAAAGCCTTCTCATTCCTTCTTTCTGCCGCCGTTTTCCTTTATCATTTCCATGCATGTATTTGTACTTGTGTATTATTGTTATGTGGTTTTTGAAATGTCCACAAATGGTATCATGCTATATATATTCTTTTGCCACTTTTTACTCTCAAATTATGTTTTTGAGACAAGAGAGTCTAGTTCATTCTATTTATTTTTTTCATTTT